CCGGCTCGGCCGTGCTCGCCGCGGCGCCCATAAAACGTGAAAAAAGTAGGGGGGTGATGGGGCACTTTCGATTCCTCTGATACGTCGCAGGCTTCGCGCGGATCACAAAAATTGCAAGTGCCCCATTTGAACATTTGAAACACTGAATATGAAACAAGTGGAATCATGAGCAGTCGTCATTCAGCCATCACCATCAAGCAGAAGTGGCGGCGGGATTGGAGAACACCTTGCAGTATTGATCGGGCACTTGTGATTTCCGTGACCCGTCGCGTGAATCGCGAAAATCGCGAAAATCGAGCAAAGGATCGCGGACTCTGACATCAGCCTTAGGTATGGTCTGGGAGCCCGTTAGCAGAGTCTGACAATTACCTTATTGTTAGCACCAAATCGCCTCACAGATATCTACACAAAAATGTTTTTAAAACTCACACGAATTTTTTCGTCTTCTTGCCCATTTTGTAACCTGAAAACATTGGGATATAAACTGTGAAGAAGCAGACCACTATCGAAAGAAATCTCGAAATCTTCAACAAGTCCGTAAAGTAAAAAAAAACTATTACAATTTCAAAAACCTAAAAATTTTACACCTCGTCGAAATTTGCCCATAATATTAATTCCATGACCCGATCACACACAAATGACAATCAATTTTAGCGTTGGCCTCATATGGCGCTAGTTTGGGGTCAAGGCTCCTCTCACCAAATTCGCTGTAAACTTGTATGCAGGGGTTATTCTGGAGTCATGATTACGAATATGACATCCACTTTGCCACTGGCGCCTATTACTTGCTCGTCTGCACCCACTCACTGGTGGTTCCTCTAGGGTTAGTTCATTAGGACAGAAAGCGACTTTTCGCGTTTCGCAGCGCGAAACATTTTCGCTGCGGGAACCTCAGGTCCACCGCTGATCATCAGTGGACCCGAGTTCCCGCAGCGAAAAATGTTTCGCGCTGAAACGCTAAAAGTCGCTTTCTGTCCTAGTGAACCTTACACTCTCCCCCACCTTCATACTGCGGGGCGCGGCCAATTCCATAAGCCCGCGAACTGTGTGGGTTAATTTGAAAACTCCAGCACAGTTCGCAGGCACCTTGAGTAAAACGAACCGTTTTAATTATTTCGTTTATAGTGGGTTTTTTTCTTGATTAGGCATTGTTCACACCTTGCGCCATGGCCGAAAGGCGCGCGAAACGATCCAATCTGTGGTTTGCGAAAGGAATCATACGGCTCCCATACTTTCTGCACGATTTGGGGCGCGGCCGCGGCGAGCGCGGACGAGTCGATAGTGCCCGCGAACTGTGTGGGTAAATTTGAAAACACATT